TGCCTTTTCTATTGGCTATTCTGAAGTGGGTTTGTCTCTCATTCTTTCACGAAAAAATGAAAATGTGTATTCTTTCTGCACTGAAACCTCCTTGTTTTGTGGAACAGAACTGTTACTTTCTAGCAAGACTTAGTGCCACCCCTGGATCAGAAAAGATGTAATCTGTATTTGCAGCTTCAAGCTTGATGAGATGTCCTTTTCATCATTGAGATTTCTGAAGGGGATCAGTGAGCTTAGTCCTAGCTCTGGGCTTTTCATTTCATGAACTTCTAGAAGCCATCATCTTCTTGTGCCAGCTCATTGCTTGTTTCCTCTTTAAGGATTCCAGTAGTGTTGAAAGCTCTCACTGGCATCCATATTTCTCCTTTCAAGTGTCATTCTTGCATAAGTTGCTAGCTGGGTGCCTGAAGGAAGACATGAAATGTCTCTGTTTTGCCTGGCCAGTAGCCATCTGCCATATGCATAAAGAAGGTGGGCATTCAGATGTTGCTCAGAAGCCAGTAATTGAGACTAGTATCAGGAATTAGTCAGCACCTTTTTATTTGTTCATTCTGAACAAAACAGAAAAAATCTGAAGGTTTATGAAGATGATCAAAGACTTGACAAATCAGATGGTCTTTGCTGTCTTGGATCTATGGACACTAATGAAGAATGTACATACCAAATATCATCCTTTCAACCTTAAAAAAAGTGATCAAGTTATTCTCTTGCCCCATTTAGTGCACTGCTGAGAAAAAGAACAAAGAAAAACATGGAAGACTATGTTTACTTGTGGAGTCATTTTCTGATTGTTATTGGTCTGACTGACAGGTGGGAAAAAGGAACACCAATTAGTTTGTACTAGCATTATTAAAACCAAGCAAAATAATACATCACATGTTAATTTACTCTACTTGATTCATATGCTCATTTGGGAGATGAACTTCTCACTGATTGTAAATTTGTCTCATTTGTTTTAAACTGCGTTTTCAGAAATGCTCCTGATATGCTGACGTATTGGCAAGCCTATATACATGTTCAAAGGTTCTCAGTACCATCCTTCAAGTATTAACATACAGACTGAAAAAGTGGAATACCAAAGTATAAAGAATATTGTGCAATTATTCAATATATCTTTGGGGGATGGCATATCGTATTTTTGTAAGGAATTACGTAGTTATTAATACATGCCTGACAAAATGTGGAACCAATCTAGTGTTTTCTTAATAGCATTCATCTATTAATGTCAATGAATAGCATGTAGAACATGACATAAGCTAACAGCTCTTTTATCAGTATATGCCAAAGCATAATCATGATCGTTATAGCACATGGAAAATTAAATGATGCAAGGGAAAATGCATTTTAAAAAAATGCATTTCTGCAGGAAGACTTAGAGTCACAAAAATGGTGCATCTGACAGAACTTCAGATGAAGTATGATCTTTAAAAGGCCTAATTCATATTTATGCATATGGAGCTATCTCCCTCCCCCGCAACCCCCCCAACCTCCAGCTCCTGTCCCCCAACAGCCTAGTTCAGGGCTGCTCAACTGGCAGCAGCCCATGGGCCACATTAAGCCCTTGGGCTGCTTTCCAGCTACAACAGCAGCTGGAATCTTTGGGCTCCCCCTCCTTCCATGTTCTGCACAGGACAGGCAGCTTAGGGTGAGGCCAGTGTCAGGTAGACTCCTACTGCAACAAGGTGGGGTGGGGACACCTGTACTGGCACCTGCTGCAGCACAGGGGGTTGTCTACATGAAACTGTTGCAGTGGTGGGGAAGAGGAAGGAGAGGGGATGTCTGTGCAGTGTGTAGCTCAGGGTTCCCATGACTCCCTGCTAGAGCAGTCTGTAGGGCATGTGATCCCTTCTAGTGCTCAGCCTCCAGCTGCTTACAATTGGACAGCCAAGCCCTACTTTGTGGGACTATTCAGCACATAAATCTCCACTTCACTTGATTTTAAATTAAATGTTACAGTTCACTTCTAATGTGTGTGGTGCACACACAGAACTGATACAGGAGTTGAAAATCATTTATTCCTTTAAATATTTCATTTACACCTGTGAAGAACCGAGTTCAGGTCTGTCCTTAGTGAAAATTCCAAGATAATTTATTAGGATCCTTTAACTGATCATCATGTTACTTATCTTTTTCTGTGGTAAATGTTGATTATAGTGTCTGTAGGTATCAGTGCTGGATACTCTGGCCACAAGGGTGACAGAACCAGTAGGTAGGTACCCTGTTCTAGAGAATACTTAACTAAATAGAGCCAGTAAGAACAGATAGAAATTTTGCTCTGGTATTTCCTTTACAGTTATGTATCCCCCATTTAGTTAACATAATTACTAACACAGACAAATCCTAATCTTGTTTATGTTAGTGACATCACTTATTGCAGTACTGCCAATCTTATATCTTCTTAACTTACAAGGCAGTCAGAAATCATGAAATGCCTTAAAATTATTATATTAAAAATAGTGCTTAATTTTTATTTGTCTTTTGGTATTTAAGCATTTGGGCCACAATCTCAAGGTTTTTCCATATAACCAGAAGGATTACAAACTTTACTTTTTTAACAAAGATGAATACACTCTTGCAATTGACAGCCTCAAATCAAATATAACACTTGTGATAATTTTACAAAAGTTGGCAACAGTGATTTTGCAAAAGAAATACAAATCTTTTTGTCAGCTGTGAAAAATTCACCTTTCAAGTCAATTTAAGTATTTTCTTCTGGGTTAGTCAAATGAAAGATTGGGTAGATTTTTGCTTTTATTTACACCATTTTTACACTGGTTTAATGCTTAGCTTCGTTAGTTACTTTTAAGGTGGATCAAATTCAGGTATCAGTTCTGGTACCTGGAATCACTGCACCTGATTTGACTTCTGTTGAAATACACAGGACTCTGTCACTGACTTAGATGAGGAGAAGGTAAGTATAAAGACCATTGTGTGTATACTAGGTGGGATATGCAGTGATACTTTCTGTAAAGTGTGTAGGCCAAACTTTGTAATCAGCTTTGATATATGCAACACAGGCTGGAGCCAGACAAACCTCATGAATTGCACATGAAGCAGTGCTCAGCACTATTAATTTGCAGTGCCAGGGCAAAACTTGCTACCAGGATTTCCCGGTAGCAAAGAAAAAACAAAACAAAAACAAAACAAAAAACCCTTAGAAAAAAAGCAGTGCAAACTACGCCAAAGTGGCAAGTGCTGGGACAAATGCAGAGACAGGGGGGAGCCTGCTCTCCTGTCTCCACGCACTGTGGAGCTCCCCTGCGCCCCAGCCGGCTGCTTCCTGGGTGGCTGGATGTAGGGTGCCTCAAGACAGGGGAGCAAGCTGGCTGGGGTGTGGTGTGTCTTGAGATGGGGCACTAGGCTGCCTGGTCCCCCATTTGAGCCACACTGCACCCCAGCCAGCTGCTCCGTGGCTGGCTGGAGTACAGTGTGCCTCCGCATGGGAGCCCAAGTGCCTCAGCACAGGGACTCTGCAGTGGAGACCCCAGGCTGAGGCATGTGGAGATAGGGGAGCAGCCAGTCCAAGGATGCCTGGCTGCCCATCTCAAAGCAGGCACGCTGTGCCCCAGCCAGGTGCGGAGTGGCTGGCTGGGGTGCAGGGTGTCTCAGCATGGGGGCTCCGCAGCACCCAGGACTGCTTGCTCCCCCATCTCCATGTGCTGCTCCCCAGCTGGCCGGGGCACAGGGTGCCTCAGCGCAGGAGATGTCTAGCGGCTGCTGAGGCACCCTGTGCCCCAACCAGCCCCCAGTTCTGCAGCACGTAAAGCAGCAGAATAATGTTTCCCGCTGCAAAGTGCAAAGTCAGGGGTGTGCACTGTGGCACAAAGTAGTGGCATATATTTGTGCCTCTACTATTGGTGCTGCTGTAAAGGCATGTCCCTGCTCATGTGGACCCAGTCACAAGGCCAAATTTTGCAATCAGCTTTGATACAAGCAACACAAAGACCAAAAACAGGCATTCATTTCCAGGGTGGAAGGGGAAGTATTGTGACAGGAAAAGGCTCCCTGCACTTCCCCAGACTAGGGACATCCAGGGCTGAGAAATGGATGAAGTGTTCCCCGCCACTCCTCGCCCCTCCCATAGACTTGTCAGAGGGGGGAGGGGAACAGAGCAGCAGGGCAAAGGCCCCAATCTGTTCCCCAGGCCAGACAGTCCCTAGCCTGGGGAAGCATGAGGAATATTGTCCCGCTTCACTGCAGATTGCCTTTTCAGTCCTGTGGGTGTTTAAACTGTGGTATGTGCTGCTCAGCTGGACAGTATAGGCAGCACTTAAAGCCTGTGAGGCTGGGAACTGGGTCAAAAATATCTTCTTGAGCCTCCATCCCACCCCCACCAGCTGCTTACAATTGGACAGGCCTGGCCTAGTTTGTGAGATTAATTAGCAAAGTATCCTAGTTTATCTAAACTGTTCTTGAGTCATATCCTGAGAGTTTAGGATCTCTCTGGATGCAGCCCTAGACAAAAACAAGTAGAATGCCTGTATTTTTACATCATAAAACACCAGAGACAAAATACACAAATTCCATACTGAGATTCCCAGCTTCTACTTTGTTTCTCCTAGGTGATATGACAGATCATAGCACTAATATTAGAAGAGACTTTTAATCACGAATCAAATTAATCTCTTACATACTTTTCTCTCCTGAAAATGTTGGTTTTAAATAGACATAACAAGCGTAACCAGTGGAATGTAAATTATAACAAGAAGTAAAAATTCTTCCCGTGTTAATTTTACTTAAAAAAAGAAGCCAAAAATAAAATTCTCAACCAAACTCCCTCAAAGCATCTTTATAATAGTTTGAACAAATAAATGAATTTATTTACAATTTAAGTTTGCAGTAACATCAAAGGTTTTGGGGCAAACTGTATAAAAATGAAATGTCATCAGCAAATGTGATTTACAAAAACTGTATTTGGCTTGAATGGTAGGTAATTTTTTTAGATGCTTCATTAAAAACATAATGTAAGCAAAAATTAGGTGAGTTGATGTGAAACTTACTGATCTCTGCAGATCTACTGGGTACTGGAGGAGGCTGTGTGCCATTGCGAGTAGGTGTTGATGACTGAGGGGATATGGGAGAAAAGGGAACCATATCAAAGATGTCAGTGGAGGGTGATTTAGGTGTCACACTGCCTGCCTACAATAAGGACAATAAATATTAGGGTAATATTTCACATGAGTAATCACAACACTGAACTTTTCAGCATGCAGATAAGAGTGACAGTATCAAAAACAATGGCATGCAAAAAAAAAACAGCTCCTGACACCAAGCAAATGGCATTTGCAGCCAAAAGTTTATGAGCCATGCTAAAACCCTCAAGTACATAAACGACACTGCAAATTTCAGATTTCCAACATATCTCGTGTAGGCAGAAATAAAAGACATTTAGACCTGAAAAAGCTGGAGACAAATAATTTTACATTAACAGCCCCTCCCCCCCAAAAGACAGATATTCTTAAGACCCATTTAAGATAACAGGGAAACAGCAATAGGCTGTAAATTTGAATGCACAGAAACAATGCCTGAAAATAAAAGATATAATTCCAATATTTGTCTCTACTAATTCTTCCTTATTTTATATGATTATTTATTTGACAACCTAACAAAGCTGTTGTGCTCAAAGCTTGGAATGTATTTTGTGATAAGCAGTAACTTAGACATCCAACACACTGACAACACTGAATATTAAATTCCAGATAAAACTTTTTATCCTTGAATGTGGAGCAGAAAAGATTTCATTAGTAAAGCCCTCAGTTTTTAGCAGATTTCAACAAATACTGCATAGCAAAATAAGTTACTGTGGTGCTACAGGCGTATTAAATAAAACTATAAATCATACAGCAGTTCTACCATCACTTCCAGAATAGAGAAAACAGCACTATCAAGTCAAAACAAAATAGACAGAGAACTAGCTTAAGAAATCAAAGTAAGACAAAATATATGCCTTACATGGGAAACCATTTTCCTCAGATGACAGAAAATATGATTCTGGAAACTAGAAATAATTTACTGCCAGGCCAGGGGACAAAAAAAAATGGACGATTCCCTTATCATTTAGCAAAACATAACAAAATTAGCCAGGTATCTAACAGGAAGGCAGTTTTCATCACAAGTTAAACTGGGCAGATTGACTTATTTAATTTGGGATCTACACAGCATTTCTAGTTGCCAGTCCATATGAGTTCCATAGGGCTGCAACCTGTTTTGATAGGTGTTTTGTTAATGGTTACTCAAGCTACTCAAACTAATTCATATTTCATAGATTCATAGATGTTAGGGGCTGGAAGGGACCTCACAAGATCATCAGGTTCAGCCCCCCTGGGATGGAGTCACAAAGACTTCCATTCCAGAAAAAGTCTGAGAAGGAGATTAGAATATGGGATCTTCTCAGAAACATAATTCTCTATGGAACCAAATAAAGTCTCCTACTCCAATGAACCATGTTATATTTTTTCAAAAGGCAAAGTTCACAGAGTGGCCCAACTGACCCCTCTCTCCTAGGAGCCACACAAATATTACCCTCATGCATAAGTGGCAGAATTCTCTTATTCAGCTTCATCTTGGAAAGGGAAACAGCCAGCCAGCCACAGGATAATTAAGCACTTTTAGGTTGGATAGGGATGGTCCTGCCTTGGGCAGGGAGTTGGATTAGATTACCTATGGAGGTCCCTTTGAACCTTGCTTCACTATGATTCCATGATTGGGGGTTGAACACAGAAATTTAATTTATAGTAATTCTCTTCCCCATGGCATTCCTCAGCACCTTGCTACATATGGTACTTGTAAACCAGGGTTGTCAAACATATGGCTTGTGGGCTGGATCCGGCCTGTTGAGCTATATGATCTGGATTGACCCCACGTGCCAGCCCCAGCCCCTTAGGTTGCATGTAGTGTGAGACCTGGACCCTGCATTGTGCACCCTGCACACACCACAGGAGCTTGGTCTGGGGCACGTGCTGCAGGCAGTGCCTTTGTTGGGCCAGCTCTATGAGCTGGCTCTAGGGCCAGGCTGTCAGAGCCAGTGGACAGGACTGGTCTGGCAGGGTGCTGCATGCAGCATCCACCCCAGACTGACCCCATGTGCTGCATGCAAAGTGCAGTTAGACATGGTGCTGCACATGGCAGGGTGCACAAGTGGTCCAGGGCATGGGCTGCATGCTGCATCTCACACCAACCCCCGTTCCCCCTGCCATGCTGTCTGAGACACACAGGCAGCACACGCCCTATGTCGGCTCCACAGCCTGTGTGCACTGCAAGCCCCGAGGCTGGCACCTGCCGCATGCAACTGCATGGGGGGTTGGTCCCAGTTCAGCCTGCAGACTGGCCCAGAGATCCTTATCTGGCCTGCAGGACCAGATGAGTCTAACACCCCTGCTGTAAAGTATTCTCATGCTACAATCAGCTGATCTTTTTCTTGAATACGTCCACCCATGGCCTTCTTGGAAGGAATACATATATTTACTCCATATTTTAAAGGTTGTAGGCTGGAGGGAGTCAGACTTCTTTGTTTCAGACATCTGGAATTCAAATTTTTCTATTGAATTCTGGGATTTTTAGATATTCTTCATACCTCTGATAATTTGGCCATATTTATTTAGGTGTACTGAAGTACCTATATTAAGGGAGCCATATTTGAAAATCTTGGTCTGTCTTCTTTTTTTTTTAACTATTTAAAATAAATATATCTCAGACATTATTAATCCCTGTCAAGATGAGTGCTCAACTTCTTTTATGAAACAAATAGTTTATAAGAAGTTTTATACACACATCCAGTTCTTGTTAACATCAACAGGTGTTAGTACATGAATTCAGAAATAGTTTAAGGTGCAAAGATTCAAGAGTACAGTTATATGCAGTAGAACTCTGCTAATCTGCACACAGGACTCCTATTAATAACATGGGACTTGTGTGTGTAATTTTTGGGCCAAAGTATACATGGAGTGAACCTGATTTCATACCCCTTGCGCAAACAGTAATCCTTATTTCATAAGGTATGGAATCAGGCCCCACATGCCTGCACAAGTCATATATTACCATCATTTCATGTGCAGTTTATCCATTGGTGTTACTGGGAAAATGCCAACTGATACTGAAGACTGATTTGTGGGTAATAACTATGAGCACTTTTTAGAGCTATGCAGAAACTAGATCAATAAGTAAATGGCATTTAAGTTTAGTCTTAAATGAGTCTTTTTGCTAAAAAGCTTTTCATTCACATGTTGATGTTTGATATGCTAAATTCTTGTATTTACTGGATATTTTGACAACATTAGTAAAACTATCTTAAAGTAAAATATAGTCTTGGTTAATTTGAAAATAAATGTGTGCTGTTGAAATCTAGATGCGCATGAGAAGCATTTTAATTTAGTAACAACATGCAGAAAGCCATGATAATGTTTGCCAAATGTAGCTGAATGTTATTTGTAAATGAATAAAAGGTTGTATCAACATGTTGTTATGGTAAGTCAGTAAACATACATGTTACAGATCATTTTAGATTACAATTATCTATGGCCTCCATTTTGCACAGAGTTCATAAAAACTACTCTAAAGCAAATGTAATTGCTGATTGCTCTTTCAGCTGATCAAAACTTTTACCAAATTTCCTTTTTTCACTGAAAGATATTGAAACCCTTCCAAATCAAACTTTTGGGGCACTTTGCCTTGAATAACATAAATATCTGTAAATAGTATCATTATTTTACCAAAAAACCAAACTCATTAAACATAGTATATACAGAAAAATCATTAGAATAATGTAAAAATAGAGAATTAAGAGATTAGTTCAAGGATATATATGAGTGGTAGAAAGTCTGAAAAGTCCCCATATTTTAAGAGTACCAAGAAAAAAATGTAAAATATATCTGATCTATCCCATAACCACTGTACAAAATGTATGTTTTAATACAAATGATACACAACAGAGAATAAGAAAATTGGGGGGAAAAAAGTTTTTGCACAGCAGGATTACACGAGGTCTTGGGATGCTGAATTCACTGACTGGCTTTGGAAGACCACTTTTGGAAGGTGGTGGTGTTAATAGCCCAGATGATAGTCTGGAGTCAGGAGAGCTCATAGGAGTGAGTGTAATGGAAGAGATATCTAAACAAGGAGTTGAATCCTCATTATTACACCAGTAAAAGGTGGAGGGTCTTTGAAACATATGTTGATCATTATCAGACTTTATATGCAGCAGCTGTAAAGGAATCACAGAAAGAGAAAATATTCTAAGGAGTAGAATATGGTAATTCAAGGGAATGAAAAAGTATGCATGTCATATTTTTAGAAGTTTGTTTGTAAATTGCTAATCCATGATATAGCCTCGGGATGCAGAATTCTAAAAAACAAAATAAAAATAAAATACATGAAAAGAGAACTTTAAAATGCATTGTAATAATAAAAAAAAAAAATCCCAGTATTGACTGGAATAAATAAGACAGATCCACTACAAACTATTAAAATAAAAGGAAGGGAATTAATTTTCGATTGTGTACACAAGTTGTTACACCCACAAAAATCTGCAAGGCCCCATATCAGAACATGCTGAACAGTAGTTAGGCACATAATTGGGGAAGAAAATTGCTCTTGGGGCTAAAGCACAAGCCACAATTTTGTCCATGTTGTCTTCATACATAGTGCCATTGAGCATTTCTTCCTCCCTCAGCATTAAAGAAATCATATAACAAAAAACTTAATATAATAAAATCTTGTCACATAAACATTTTACGTGTTTTTTCAACATGTTTGATTTTGACTAGAAAGATGATTTATATGTTAAGTTTCTTAGCCAACGAATATAAAAAACTACACAATTTTTACAATAATTGAATATATCATGATTTTTCTGTATAAAAGTAAGTACTGCACTTGTAGATTAGACTGAAATAGTTTTCATAGACAAAACAAAAGCCATCTAAAGATTACAAAGGCCCAAATTATTTTCTTCACCCTTGCTTCAAGAGTTGCACAGGGCTCAGGACACAATGAAATTGCTAAGGCTGACTGGTACATTCGAATTTTAGAAACACACACTCCCCCTTACCTCCCCTGCCATGTCCCCCCTCTCAGAGAAGTTGTTTTTAAAATGTATCTGAATAGAGCATGTTTTCACTTAGGATTCTGTCATGCCCTAACTGTTCCAGTGCTGAGTTGAAAGAGCTGCGTTTCCCATTACAGAGATGATAACATTACAAATATAGCATAAGAGGAACAGGGAGCTGCACTCATTTCCCTGGGATATTAACAATTCCTGCAGCCACTGAAAGCAGTCAGTTTTGGTTTTTTTAAAAGGTCTTTTTGTCAGAACCTACCACTTTTGACCAGCCCTTTACATGGAAAATATTCTCAGTTCCAGAATAGAAACTCTGGTCAAAACCACAGAGATCCTGAGAGTGGAAGTAAATAGCCTAGTGGTCATGGCAAGCACCTGGGATGTGAGACACCACTCTACATATATATTGAAATAAATTAATCACTTTGGTCAAGGCATAGGAAGTTAAGAATTGTATGCAGAAGACACAAAATATGAGGAACTAAGATGACAGTTTGGGGAATATGCCTGTGTCAAAAATGTAGTTCATTCTGTGTTGTGTGCATCATTCATAACTATGAATTGGCATTGAGGTTTTGAACCTTGATTTTGGGTGCAACCCACATGGTGTCCTTTGTTGAGAGTGTAGTGCATCTGTTGCCTAAAAAGGTTAGGCAAATTAGGGGTCCTGGCCAGGGAATCTGCTTTTGGGATCGAGCCTGAAAACATATCTAGAGACAGTGCCTAAATGCTTCTCAGACTTGCCTGGTTTGCAAGCATACATAGTCCAATACATCAGATTGGTGGCCAGGTCTGGTTGTCTGGTTGAGAAGATAGCCATGTTGTAATCCCCAGATTTCCTCCTCAAAAGAAATCTTTATCTAGATCACTGAAAGGAGAGGTGGCTGTGGATGTCACGGGAAGGTTTCTGATACTGTCTGCTCTCACTCACATTTTACTTCTGCCTCTTGGGCTGCCAAGTACACCAGAGAAGGAGAACTAACATTATTTTAAAAGCTACAGATGTAGCATAATCCCCTTTAGTCTGTTTCATCAGGCCTTTGGTTTGCCTCTCCCTCCTGTTCATTCAATGGTCTCAATATATTTAACACAACATGTTAAAGCATAAAATCCTACCAAAATGTAAACACTGCTTTGATTTCTTTAGAAAACATAGTTTACCCTTGAAGCTACACTACATCCCTTTGGTTCCCCAGTACTGAAAAAGAGGTTCATATTGAGTGATTTAATTTTTTCCCATTTTGTTGATATAATTTTTATAATTTTTCTCACTTTACAATATCTTTTCCTATATCTGGGCTGACAGATGATGTTTGCCAAAATGTAGTTGGGACAGAGATACTAAGAGTCAAAGTTATTACTTTCCAAATTGGCCATGTAGTTGAGAAGCATGAGACACTAAGATTGTGTCTGTAATATTTTTTAGTTTAATGTACTTATGTGACAGTAAAGTTGTGTACTTCAGTTTCCCTTGATTGCTTGTACACTGGAAAATAATGGGTACAGAGAAATGGGCCATCAAGAAAATCATTTTGCACAGGACACATACTGGAGCCCCACTGAATTTAATAAATAGCAAATGGAGACATCCTGTTCCGGGTACTTGGCAAGGCCAAAGAGTTTGGCTTGAACAGGAGACTCTCAGTGACAAGGAGGGAGAGAAACAGGAAAAGGTACATAAGAGACTGAAAAGAGAAGAGCTGGGTCTGATATGCTGCCTGGGAGCTGACATAAGCACTGTGTAGTCTGAGGATTCTGCCTGCTTATTGCTATTGAGTAACAAATTACGTTTTCATTTGTTGTAAATAAATTAAAAAAAAAACCCAACAACAGCTTCACTGAATGTGACTTTGGGTGCATTCTGTCCCCGTGAACAGGTAAGTCAGGAACCAAAAGGCTGAATCATGGAGTTGAAGGAGCCAGGGGCTCACTTATGCCAGAAGTGACACTTTAAATCTTTTCAAGATGCGACTAAAAGGAATCGTGATCTAGCAACTAAAGAGAAAGATGAAATTCCATACTACAATAGGTCTCCTTCTGTCTGTATGTGGAAGATGATATCTCCAGGTATGATGCTCAAGGCCCTTATATCGAATTGCTTTATGGTGGATATATGGCACAATAGATTTTTATAATATTGTCGTTTCAGAAGTGTTAATTTATAAACATGCAAATGGCCACAGCAGAGTATCAACTACAATCTGTAGGATGTGTATTTACAGATTTATAAATTTACGTGTGTAAAATTATATGAATTGATTAATCAGAAAACAGCTTTTATTTAGACTATTTGTGGTATATGTAACAGGCCTCAGTGAAACAAGTCAAATGAGGTAAATAAACTTTATAAAAATGGAAAGTAGCCATCAGTTACCTCTACATGAGATGCTGATCACAAGGACTAATTGACTGCGCAGTAACTAGCATTCCCAAATGGTTTTTTGGTGATGCTGACTGTGCAGTAGCTTGTTACTACTGTGCAGTAAGTGTCTCATGTTGATGTAGCCATTTGGTTAGGAATGCACTGATAAAAGACTTTCAAGATTTGCTAACACTACAGATGCTCCTCTAGTTGAATAAAACATTTGCTAAACTGCATGCAGATTATGCTATATAAAAATGGCAAAGGATAGCAAAGAATGACAAAGGATTGCCGAGCAATTAAAAACACCTATTCTTGAAACAGTTTTCCCTATTTGGCAAACTGAATTCTATTGGCAATCTGCTCAAAATGATGTGTTTAACTGCTTGGAAGTGATCGCTTTTCAAAACATGCAGGGAGCTCTGTCTTCTATCTTCCTTGAAAGGCCCACTTGAAAGTCCTCAGCAAAGGTCACTGCTGTAATAAGATGACATTTGGCTGGGAAGTAGCTAAGAGAAACTTTGTCAATCAAAATCTAGGAAGAGAATCCCTGAGATGACCCTTTGGTGCTCCAGAGAAGGCAGAGAAATCAAGGGCTCTTCTACTGGCTAGAAAACTGGAGCTATACAGGTATGTTTGTGCATCACTGTTGAGCTTGAGGAGAGAAAGTGCTTCCTAGGGATCTGAAGACAATTCTGGAACTAGCCAATGAACCCAATAATGAGCGGAAACCCTGTAAATGCCTATGCTTTTTTGAAAAAGCACATCTGTTTAGTATCTCAGAAACTTTTTTCAAGTTCCCTTGATTCCTTCTTTTGTTTTTCTTCTGTTGCTTTACCCAACTCTGTTAATTTTTCCATTCACAGGGGTCCTGCCCCATCCCATTGTCTACTTTTTAACTCTGATTATGCATAACCAGTTATGCTTAAATTCTTTGAAAGGATGTCCAACCCCAGAAAAATTAGAAAGTCAGTCTTGCTTGTAGATCAAATTCTGATTGGCTGGTCAAGTTAGATGTTCCTTAATGAGGCAAACCAGACTAACTTTGTAACTTTCTTTTTAGGTTGACTGAATTGTCTTTGAATGACTATAATTTTAACTAAATGAATACCTCCAGGAAAGGTGTAGAGACTTTTTTTTGACTGATCCTAAGGTAGAATTAGTGGTAAAAAGTACTCACTAAAGTTTTAAACATAAAGAGAGACTTATTAAAAGTAGAGAGATGCATACAGAGATCCACTGACATTTGGCAAGTGTGTATGAAAATCCTTCCAAGGGCACCATCCAAACTCTTATTGTGATACAGAGTTGAGCAGTAGAACCATGTGAAAGCAATAAAGTGAAAATCAGATTGTCCTCATATAATCAAGACCAAATGAAAGAAAGACCATTGATTAATGTTTTGCCAAACCACTAAAACACAGAGGAAAAATAAATAGCCCACATACAAAAGTAATGGAAACTTCAGCAGTTCATCCAAGTGACTGACTGCATGAAAGAGTACAAAACACCCTGTGCCAAAATTTCTAATGCCACACACAAGTTCTATAGACACTCACATAGTCTATTCCCCACTAAAGAAACCACATCTTTCTAACTAGATTATACTATTTGTAATGTCTCTCACAGACTTATCTAGAAAGTGGTAAGAAATTGTTATTTTCTATTAAATACTATTTCTTTGCTGACAGTTATATATTAGGATGACTAACTTATAAAGGTATTAACATAATTGCCAGCTTTGAAAGAGATCAATCTACAATGAAAAAATATCATGAGGCAA